ATATTTGATTTACAAATAAGGAATCCTACTTCGCGGAATTTCATTTATCACGGTAGGGTCTAGAACCGATTAACCACGGTAAACGAGGGTTCACTGTATATGGTCACTATGAAATAGGCTCTAGAGCACCTAACACAAACAAGTCATTGCACACTCAAAGATAAGGAACCAAGAAAGCAGGAAGTTAATTGTGATCAGTATTTAGAAGTACAAAAATGAGCCAAATGTTCATACGAAGGAGTTATTAAAATAACTAAATTGCCATACAATTCGACCCAAATTATTATATATTTTGATCAGTGAATTTTTCTAAGGACAGTCTATAAGTTTTGCCTCTCCCCTAAAGTCTATAATTGCGTAAGACATTTCAGAACTGTGTATGGCTGAGAAGATTTTAACCCACTGACCTAGAATCAATAACCTACAATTGGAAATGATCTTCAGGAGGAGTCTGTCTAAAAATAATTTCCTGTGTTATGTAAAGCATTAAGCTTATGATAGATATTTATAAGCAGTTTTTTCAAAGTTTATATCTAATATGATATATAAACTAGTCATTCAATGGAGAAAGGCAAGTGATAAAGCTACAATGATTAAACCTCTACTGTGGACCAAGGTTATTGAAAGTGCCACATCTCAATTATGCTCATTCACTGGATAATCTGAATATTGAAAATACCTCATGTTGGTGAACTATAATGAAAGAATATATGACATTTGGTAGGCTTATTTATTTCCCTCACACTGATATTAATGCTGTCTCCTGTCATTTTGCCAGGCTGTTTCCTTGGCTTTAAGAATGAATATAGCTCTCCTTCCAACTCTCTAGGGAAAAAATGCTTTAAATGAAAATACAATAAGTTATTATATACTTGATGATATCAAAGGCCCTGGTAGCGTTGTGTGTTAAACATTTGGCTGATAACCAACAAGGTCAGCAGTTGGACCACCAGCCATCCTACAGGAGAAAGATGAGGATATCACCTGTAGGAAAGTTGGACAGCCGGGGTAACTCAAGAGCAGTTCTCTTCGGTCCTATAGGGTTGCTATGAGATGGAATAGACTCAATGTTGCTGAAGGGGCTTCAAAAAGTTTGTGGAAATTTTCCATTATATTTTAATTCCATTTTAAAATAAACTTTCTGAAGTATTCCTGAGGTTGGAATTACATATGTCTGTTGAAAAAAACTTGAATGATAATGTTGACCTTATAAAATAGGAAGTGAAAAGGTGAGACAGCGCAAAAACAGGACAGCTCCCCCTGAGGAGTTTCTCAGAAGTTTTCAAAGCCCTCGGCACTCAGTTTGTACTAACCACCCAAAACCGGGTAAAATGCTCAACAAAATAGGAATAGAAGGAAAATCCCACAACATATTTAAGAATATAGACACAAAACAAACAGCCACCATTAGTCTCAACAGGGAGAGACTGAAATCATTTATTTTTCAAACAGGAACCAGACGGGTACTAATTATCACCACACCTAATCAGTAGCGTGTTTGAAGTCTTTACCTGAAATAGAAGGACAATAAAAGAATTCCAAATTGGCAAAGAAGAAGTAAAACTATCTGTATTAAAAAAAAATACCTGTATTTACAAATGATGTAATCCTATACATAGAAAATTACAAAGACTCAGCAACGGAATTACCAGAACTAATTGAAAGATTAAGCAAAGTGGCAGCATGGAAGATTAAGACACACACAGAGCCACATAAGCAGATGCCATTTACAATAGCCACCTGGAAGATGAAATACTTATGAATAAATGTAACCTGAAGAACAAAGGAGCAATACAGTGAAATGTCCTAAACATTGCTACAAGAAAGCAAAAGAGACCTATATAAATATGTAACATACTATATTTATGGATAGGGAGATTTAAAAATTGGAACATGGTAATGCTACCCAAAGTAATCTACAGATAAAATGTAATTTAAAATCTAGATCCAACATCACTCTTTTTATTTTTATATATTTATTTTTTTATCGTTTTATTAGTCAACATCACTCTTTTAACAACTTAGGGAAATGAACCGCAAAGTTTATATCCAAAGGAAAGCACAAATACAGAAGAACAAAGTAGAAAATCTCTCACTGCCCCATCTTGAAATCTAATACACAGCTGTTACTGGTATAATGAGAGACACATAAACCAATGGAACAGAATTGCGAACCTAGAAATAAATCCATCCACCATGGACAAGTTGAACTTGGATAAAGACCTAGAAATCAATAAATGAGTAAGAGATAGTTTCTTTAAAAACAGTCCTGGCAAAACGATATATATTTGCAGAAAAAAAGAAACCAACCACATATCTCACCATGTACAAGAGCTAACTGTAAAACCTAAATCTATAAAGGCCACCCATGAAAAGGTAGTGTCACAGTTGAGTGGCATAGGAGTCCTGACAGCATAGTGGTTTTGAGTTGGGCTGCTAACTA